CAAATTGATAAGAAAATTTGTTAAAAAGAAAGAAAATTAATTGAAATGGTATGATTTCGTTTTCTCTAAACTTTTTTCTAAAAACTTTTTCAAACTAAAATAAAGGAAAAGAAAAATTGAAATAATTGATTTATAATGTATATTCTATACTTTTTATTTTCGTAAGAATGAAAGTTATAAAATATACTTTTTATATATTCTAAACTTTTTTTTTTTTGTAATAAAATAACTTTGAAGAAAAGTGGTACTGTACAAATAATGAATGGAACAAGAAGTAAAATTTGAATAATATTTGATAACATTTGAATGGTTCTTCATTGTTTGCAATTTGCTTCCAATAAATAGTGATAAGTTTACTGATAAATTTTGCGAGCTTTACTGATGGATTGATAAGTTTACTGATAATTTTTGCAATTGTATAAGTTTACTGGTAAATCTTGCATGTTTTCACATAAGTTTTCTGATAAATTTTATAAGTTTCACTGATAAATTGATAAGTTTACTGGCAAATTTTGTAACTTTTACTGATTAATTGATGAGTTTACTGATAGTTTTTGCAACTGTATAAGTTTACTGATAAATCTCGCTACTTTTTACATAAGTTCACCGATAAATTTTGCAAGTTTTACTGATAAATTGATAAGTTTACTGATAAATTCTACAAGTTTTTACAAAAACACACACATATTAGTATCGGTTTCTTTTCTTTTTTTTTGATTTTTAACATTTTTCTAAATATATCAAAGAAATTTGATAATTTGTGAAAAAAGAAAAAATTTATTAGCGATAATTTTGTTATAAAAATGATACTGAAATAAAGGATGAAAAGAAAATGTCATATGCAAATTTTCATTCATTTCTGATAGCCTAAACAAAAGTAATCGTTTGTATTTTGTATTAATTAAAATTAATTTTGTATTTTTTTTTTTAAAAACATATTTGATTTTTTCAAAAGTCTTTATGATTTTCTTTTCTTCTTTTATTTATTTTTTTTTTTATAAGAATTATTTTGTAATCCTTTAAATTATTTAAATTAATTTTTTGAATAAAACAAATGTTTGCATCATTTTTAATTAGTTGTTGATAATTGATACAATTAAATTTCTGAAAAAAAAAAATGTTAAATAAATTTGTTTGAAATGATTAATAATTTAAAAATTAGGAAATTATTCGTATAAATTAGCGATTTCAAGAAAGACTAAGCAAATTTTCATCATTTCTTTTCTATTCAAAATTTGTCATCGAACAAATACTAACCGTCACCAACTAACTAACTGCCATCGCATTTGTCATATGTAATCATAAATGGGAAAGGTATAGGATTTGAATATTTCCCATTTCCAGGATTAATTGCCGATTATTAGTAAATGATGTTGAAGAAAAAAAAAATATTTGGATAGAATACTAAATATTTTTATTAATTAAATTAATTACCCATTAAATTCATGTTTTAATTTGAAATTACTTTTTTTTTTTAGCGTCATCATGAATATTTGATTATTAGTAGCAGCTTTGATCATCCACGATGTCATGATTGCTTCCTAAAATTACGCGCACAAACTGGTGTTCTACCACTTTCGGTAATAATTGTAATCATTTTTTTTCCCCTTTTAATTAATTGATTAATTAAATATGATAAATAATGAGGAAGATTGTTGCGAAAATTTAACAAATAACCAATTAATATAGTAATAAATAAGTAAACAAGATAATTAATAAAATTAAATAAATAGGTAAATAAGATATACTGTAAATTAAAAATGAAATAATTAATTTATTTATTTTTTTTATTAACGAAAACAATTTTATTAAGAAAATAAATAATTTTTATTTTATCAATTCGTCCACATTCGAGTATATTTTTTTTTTCAGATAACTTCACCGGTAGATTGTTGTAGTCCAAGTGGTTTAAGTGATGGTACATCCGGAAAAGTTTCATCACCACATTTACCATTATCATTGGTTGTTGAACAAAAACGTTCAAGGACCGAATAGAATATTAATTTTGATCTTTTTTTTTTTTTCTTTTCTTTTATCATTTGTTATTTCCTTACTTTTTTTTTTTTTTGTTTTCTGTGTTAATAATTGTAAACTATCAATATTGTATTACTTCTATTAATATTATTATTAATATTGTTATTATTATTATTATTATCATTATTATTATTTTTATTATTGCTGCTATTATTATTATTATTATTATTATTACTGCTGCTATTATTATTATTATTATTATTATTATTATTATTACCATTATTATTATTGCTATTATTATTATTACTATTATTATTATTGCTATTATTTATGTATTGCTATGGTTGGGATTAATAAAAAACACGAATAAAAAAAAAAAAAATTGTGTTCCATACAATTAGCTCTGATTTATTAATTTGATATCTTTAGCTTTATGATAATTTTTTTTTGTCTTCTGAATTTTTGAAATGAATTTGATATATTTCTTATCATATCATATTATTGATAATGTTAAAATACAACAAACACTTCAATTTTTTTTATTCTTTTTAACTCTATTTGTCGTATATCGTATCGCATACATTAAAAAAAAAAAAACACAATGATAATATCAGGGGAGAAGAGAGAGAGAGAGAGAGAAGAAAAAATAGAATAATCTATTTACAAGAAGAAACTATGCATCACATA